AGGAAAAATAGTTCCTGGGATACACAGGAACTATGTGACAAAAGTAGATTAATGGAGTGGGCCTGGTGAGGGGAGAGGCAGAGAGTGTCTGTGGATGGGAATGGATGGGGATGATGGAAGGTGCTGGAAGGATCTGTTGGGGATTAACTTAGGGGGACCAGGGATGGCGGGGTGACTGGGAAAGGCCAGAGGACCTGGAATGGTGGGGTGATGGAAGAAGTGGGGAGAAGAAGAGGGACGGGTGAGCTGTGGAACTGGGAGAGTTGGGACAACAGTAGTGGGTTAGTTTGGGGCAGAGGACATGAGAGGAGAGAAGGGCAAACTAGCAACTAAAGGAAACCAGAGAAAGCCAAGAAGACTGGGTGGGATGGAAAGAGACTGGTAGCTGTCTTGTATAGAGGAAATTTAAAAGATACTTTTTATTGTGATAAAGTAGACATACATCAAAGTTGAGCATTTTAAAGTGTACCGGGTGATGGCATAAGGACACTCATGTGTGGACAATCTTCTCTGCCATCTATGCCCATAGCATTTTCATCCTCCTGAACAGAAAGTCTGTACCATTAAAGAAGAATTCTTGCTGGGCTCAGGCTCATGGCTGCCATCCTAGCTACTCAGGAGGCAGAGATCAGGGGGATCATGGTTGGAAGCCAGCCCTGGCAAAAAGCCCTTCACAAAAAGGGCTGTGGAGTGGCTTAAAGTAAGGTCCTGAGTTCAAACCCAGTACCACCAAAGAAAAAAAAAGAATTCCGTCTTCATCTTAAGCCCCTGTTCACCCCTGGGTTCTATACTGTCTACAGAGAGAAAATTTTAAGCCATGATCTTCCTGTCCCTTGTGGAGGAGTGGGGGACTAGGAAGGAGAGAGGGAAGGCGTGACCTGGGTTGGAGGAAAGGCCAGTGGTGGTGGGATGTGCCTGCAATTCCAGAGCTCAGGAGGCTGAGGCGGGGGATGAGAATTTGAGGCTAGCCTGGGCTACATAGAGAGGTACTCTTTCAAAACAAACAAACAAACAAACCACAGAAAAACAGAAAAAAAAAGACTCACCATCTATTGTTTCTCAGCCTTTCAGCTAAAATCAAGAATAAACTCTCACTTTCTTTGGACAGTCCTTCTCTGACCACTAAGAAGGTAAAGTAAAGCAGGCTTTCTTTGCCTTGTCACTATGAACTCCTTCCTCCTGTCACTGCCCAATTCCTGCTATCATGTGATCGTGACTTGTATGTATATTGCCTGCCCCCACTGCAATGTAAGCCCCTCTGGGCTGGGGTGCTTGGTGTGTTCAATGATGTATTTCCAGCACCTACACAGTCCCTAGAAGATGACAAATGTTCAAGAAATGGTTGTTGACTGACTGTTGAGTATATACCCAAGCACACCTGGGGTCATAGCAGTGCTATTCATGACAGCCAAGAGGTGGAAGTGACCTGTGTCCACTGGCTGATAACAGATGAATAGCATGCAGTAGACACACACAATGGAATATTTCTTATCTTTGAAAAAGAAAGGCAGCCTGTCCCTTGCTTCAACAAGGGGGAACCCTGGGAATATAATTCTCATTAAAAAACCAGTCACAAAAAGACAAACATTATAATTCCACTTACATGAGGCACCTAGCATAGTCAAACTTATAACACAAAGTAGCACGACGGTGGCCAGGGAGAAGTGGGTATTGTTTAATGAGTATAAGTTCCAGCTTTGCAAGTTCTTGAGATTGGCTGCTGCTAACAGTGTGAATATACTTACACTTCTGAACTTAGAAGTGGTCGAGGTGGTGTGTAGAACGTTTACCTGGGAGGGAACAGCAGGAAGCTGGAGAGAGGAATGGGGTGGGGAGGGGAAAGAAAGCCACCATGGGTGTGTTACTGAGGGTCTCTACAGTGGGCAACTTGGGCTCCGTTCCATTGACCTTTTGAGTTGTTTATAGATGATTTCTTACAATTGTCCATCTAAGAACTAGCAAGAGATGCATTTATCCATCATCTCCCATCTTCTGTCAGTTGCAGGCTGCCTCTTAGGGCATTTGCTCCATATGGCCTGCAGCAGAGATTATCTGGAAATTCTGTAAGACTCAAGCCACATCACTTAAAGTGAGAGTCTGTGGTGAGCTGTCCAGGAACTTCGACTGAAATTAGAGGTGAAGACAAGACAGCAAGTCAGGACCCCAGCTGCATCCAACACATGACGCCCTGATTGCCCTACCAAATCCCACAAGCTGCAATTGTAACACTGACTAAACTTAAAATTAATTAGCTTTGCAATGTATTTAATCAGTTCATTTGCTCATTCTTTCTTCTTGCCACTCACTGTTTCCTTCTTTTGCAGTACTGGGGTTTGAACTCAGGGCATCAAGCTGACTAGGCATGTGCTCTACCACTTGAGCCACACCCTCAGCCCTCATTTTTTCTTTTAAATGATGTCTGAAAATATATTATTTGCCTTTGTTCTAGAAGGATCAGGTAGCTGTGTATTGAGCCCTAGGTTCAAGTTCATTACTTTCTTTTGGCTTCCCGTATCGCTGAGAAGGATTGTGATGTCAGATTCTTGCTCCTCGTTTTTTGATCATCTACTTTTTCTGGTACGAGGGTTTTTTTTGGTGGGGGGAGACAGGAGAGTACTGGGGATTGAACTCTACCACTTGAGTCATGCCCAGACCTTTGGCTTTTGGCTTGTTTTTTGGATAGGGTCTTGAGTTAACTTTTCCCAGGCTGGCCTTGGACAACGATCCTCCTATCTCTGCCTCCTGAGTAGCTGGGAGTGTGCCGCCATGTAGGTGTGTGCCACCATGCCCAACTTTTTACTGTAATTTTAGTTCCCTGGATTTTTAATGGAATCTTTGTCATTTGTCTTGTTTTTATTTCATGATCTCTTTTTCATGTTTCACAGTATTCCCTTTTTATTTCTTTGAGAACTTTAAAGATACTTCAACAAGTTCTTCAACTTGCCCTAAAATTTTGTTTCTCAGCTTCCAGTTCTTCTGTCTGCTCTGTCTGCTTGCTTTCATGGTGTTGGACTTCCTCAATGCTCTGGATTCCTGGTTTTGAGGTTATCTGGGGATTCCATAAAACTCACAACCATCTTCTAGCGGCCTCATCTTGGGTCTGTACTGGACTGGGCTCCAGACTACTGTTTTCTCAGAAGTGTCTACCATGGTCTGTGCCTCATGTGAATGACCATTTCTGGGAGAGTCCCTGTGAGGCCTGTAGCTCTGTTGAGGACCCAGCCACAGGAACATGTGATCTTGAACCAGGGTGCCGCTCTGGTTTATGTTCACCACCTGGCCGCACAGGTCCTAGTAACAGCCAGACTTAGGCTCCAACCCTACTTAGCATTCACACTATAAGTCTAGCCTTGCTCTCTTCCCAGCCCCTGTCCAACCTCTTCTTTCCCGAGGGCTCCTGCCTCCTTTCATTTCAGGAGATGTCTCCATGTCTGTTTTTTTTTTTTTTTTGGTAGTATTGTGGTTTGAACTCAGGGCCTCATGCTCGCTAGGCAGGTGCTTTACCACTTAAGCCATGCCCCCAGCCCTTTTTGTTTTAGTTATTTTTTCAGGTGGGGTCTCATGTTTTTGCTCAGGCTGACCTCAAACCATGATCCTTCTGCTCACTACCTCGTGTATGCCTGGGGTTGTAGGAATGAGGTACTGCCTCTGGTCCTGTACGTCTTGTCTGCAAACATGTCCTTTCTTGTTTTTGATCACATTAGTGCAATTATTAATTTAAAAATGTCATGCCTATGTCATGCTCCTTCTTGGAGCAGAAGGAGATGGTTTCAGTTATCTTTTAGCAGAAGTGAGGTGACTTTTCCACATTCAGTAGAGCTTCTGTTCACTAAGTTTCGTTCCACAAGCAGCTCTGTAGAAATGCACACACCCCAGAGCTGGGTGTTGTCCTTCAGCTTGCATTACAACTACTCAGTCAAGCCTATCTGTGACGTCCCTGTTAGGGACCTGATTCCAGCTCAGCCAGGGGCAGCAGGATCAAGGTGAAAGCATCACCCCCTCTTTCTAGTGCTGGAGATGGAGCTCAGGGATTTGCATAAGCCAGGCAAGTGTTCCACCCCTGAGCTACACCCCTGGTTCTCATCCTATACGTATGCCTTCTCCTTATCTTCAGGGATGCTTATAACCGTGGACAGTGCTAAATGCCATATGTACTATCTTTTATGCATACATACCTATGATTAAGTTTAATTTATAAATTAGGCACAGTAAGAGATTAATATTAATAACTAATAATAAAATAGAACAATTATAATAAACTACAATAAAATTTATGTGAATGTAGTCTCTCACTCTCTCAAAACAATTTATTGTATTGCATCTACCTCCTTTCTTTTTTTTTTTTTTTTGAGACAGGGTCTCCCTATGTAGCCCAGATTAGCTTCAAACTCTTGATCCTCTTGCCTCTGCCTCCAGAGTGCTGAGATTACAGGATGTACCACTTCTTTTTGTTGATTGTGGACCACTGAAACCTTAAAAAAGCAAAACTGTAGATAAGAAGGACTACTGTGTGTATCAGCATGCGGCAAGGAGCTCACAACATGAACCAGTTAATGCTCATAAGAATCCTAAGCCCCCAGGACAGCAATAAGAAAACGTAAAATTGATTCTGGTGAGTGTAAAAAAAAGAATCCTAGCCAGGAGGTAACTATTATCACACTCCCTATTTTCCAGATAAAAAGATGAGGCGCAAAGAATGGTGAGCCATGACGGGGATCACAAATCTTGAGCCCTTCACACCACTCTGTGCTGTGCGTGTGTGTGTCTCTACTCTGCATGTGCTAGCTTGTACATGGGGTTGGGAGCGTTAAGTCAAGCTCTAACTGTAGTGTGACTTTGCAGAGCCAGGAGTGGAATATGGAAGGACAGAGAGTGTCAGAACCAGGGAACCTGGCCCAGTGACATTAGCTTCTTGCCCCAGACTAGTTCTGCCTGTCTCCTCCCTGCCTGTCTCACACACTTCTGGAGGATATGAAGGAGGCCTGGTTGCAACTGGGGCCAAAGGTGCTGCTCTCCCCATCCTGCCCCACCACCATTACGAAAATCTGTTTGCTGCAGATGTAGGGTGTGGGGGCTGGAGAGGAGGGAGAGCGTGCACACAGCTCCTTCCTCAGAAGAAACTCTTACTCTTCAAGTCCAGAGAGACACAGAGATGGAGAGAGAGAGATGGAGAGACACAGGACCCAGGAGCAAACAAGGAAAACTAAAATATAGAAATATGGAGCACCAAGACAGAAAGGAGCAGAGGTAAAGAGACTCATAGACTAGGGAATGGTGTCTGAGAGGGTAGGTACTAGGAGACCAGGCCAGGGGTGAGTCAGGGCTGACACAGGAGGGAGGTAGTGCAAAGAGCCAAGGCCCTGGGGTGCCAGGGGGCCTTGGAGTCCTTGAGGAGTCTGCTTCAGAGCTTCTTAAAGCCAAACATTCCCCCTGCCCACGGGTGTGATCCTTCATTGAGGCTGGGGGTAGAGCTGAGTAGGTGTGCATACATGTGTCTGCCCCCACCCCCTCAGCCTGGGCTGGCCTGTGTCCCCAGAGCAATGGACAGGTGCTGGCCTCTCCCTACCACCCCCTGCAAAGGGCCAATTGGCTCTACCCCCCCAGTGCCAGTGTCAGGTTCCAGGCTGTTCCCTGGGGGAACTTTGATCTGGAAAGAATGAGAGTGACCGATCTGGCTGCTGCCCAGGGCTAAGCCGTGTCACTGAGACCTGGTCTGGGCTGCCCCTGGCGCCTTCCTGCCTTCTGGGACACCAAGCAGTTACCCCAGGTGCAAGGGACTCACAAGGAGGTCTTTCCTGTTTTCTTTCCCACCTTTGTACTTGGAGTCACCCCTTCAGTGTTCATTTACTGGTTCGCTCATTCATTCAGTAACTTTTCCCTTATTCACTCATTCAACAAGCATTGGCTGATGGGGATGAGGGTGCCAAGCAATGCAATAGGGACAGAGGGACAAGTGAGACCGCATGCTGCTGTCTGGGAGCCCCTAGCCTGAGGGGGCAGGGCAGCTACTTAGCCAACCCCACATGAAGACACTGCTAAGACAAACACCAGGCCTGCCTGGAGGAGGGAGATAGGGTGGAAAAGGAGGCAGGACAGGGCCTAGTGGAGGCTTTTTAAGGGGCTGGCCAGAGAAGTACAGTAAAGCTGGGCTTTGAAACTTTGAGGGATGGGCAGGAAATTGTCACAGTTTGTCAGGTGGAAGGAAGGTGCTGGGTAGGACACCATGGCAGGAATGTGAGGATTTTGTGTTTGCTGCACAACTGAGAGGGGCAACTGAGAGGGGCAGTTTGGGCAGCAGGTATCTGGAATGGCCTCTGCCATTCCATGGGTCAGGGAGGAGAGTCCTAGCTGGGGAAGTTTTGTCAAAGTGAGCTGCCTCAGGGGGCTTGGATGGAGGTGCCTTCTCAATGAGGGGCAGAGGGGGCCCCATGACTCTTGAGACCTGGGGAGGTCTCAGGAGACCTAACAAGCCCCAGCCTGCTAGTCTCCAAAATGCTTCTGAGGAAGCCCAAAGCTTTTGCCTGGCCTCCCCACCCCAATGCCCACTTGGCTGACATGTCCTTTTGCTAGGCTGAAAGCAGACACTGCCATCCTGCTGGCCCCCTTAGGGAAGTCCTGTTGAGCATAGTCCTGCAGATCTGGCTCCTCCTTTCTCCAGGCCACTGAGCCAGGCCCTATAAATAAGCCCCTCTTGGGGAAGGGCAGTGGGGGTAGAGGGGTGAGGCAGGCTCACATAGAGCTTAAGGGACCAGGCCTTTTGGTGGGACATTGTAGAAGGCGTGGGGGAGAAGCAGAGAAGGGAGGAGGAGCCCTGAGTTTGAGGCTCAGTTCTGCTTGCCCCTTGGGCTGAGGCAGTGGGGCCGGGCCTGGCATTCAGGGACTGTTGTTACAAGAGCGAGGCTGACCCTCTTTTTCTGCCATCTCTGAACAGGTTCCCAGAGGCCCAAGTGTCTGGATATGAGTTGTGGGGCTTCCCAAGCTGGGGCTGGCCTGCTGTAAAGACCTCCTTCCCTGATCCCCAGAGGCCCAGGACCAAGTACAGCAGGGTGCTTGCTCTGCCCCTGCTTGCCCGAAGGCTTGAGTCAAGTGCTTACTCTCCCTGCACCTCAGTCTCCCTTTTTGGCTCTGCGGTTCTCAGGATTGGGGTGGGGAGGTAGGGCAAGTTAGTACAGAAGACTTGCCAGGCCAGGAGGCAAGGGCTTGGGGGCTGGGACTCAAGGGAAGAATTCTGGAAATGGAAAATGTGATCCCAACAGTCTTATCTGGGCTGGAAGCAGCTGTCTCCACCCCACACCCTGTGCAGCCCCTGCCTCTGGGGGGCGGACTGTAGGCTCTTCTGTGCAGAAATGAGTGGTGTTTGTCTTTAGGGCAGCCTGGACCTCAGTGGAGGTCTATGGAAATTCCTCCTTCTCTGGAGTCAAGAAGGCCCAACCTTGGTCCAGGATGGCAGCAAGCTCTACTTGTATTACCCCCTCCCCAAACCAGGGCCACGGTTAGAATTTCATATGCAAGACTCCCTGCAGAGCAGGCCCCATGGCACCCAGAATCTGGGCTTTTCAGAGATACTTCTAGGCCTGTCTAGAGTCAGTCACAATGGGGCATGTGTATATATATATATGTCTAACCTCAGACTCACACAATGATGCACATGTAAACAGTTACTATATGTATGCATGCACAACACATATGTACAAGCATGTGGACATTATTGGCTGGGTAGGACACAACTGAAGACTTTTTTCTTTTTAAATTTTATTTTTATTTATTTATTTGGCAGTACTGAAGTTTGAACTCGGGGCTTTGCAATGGCTAGGCAGGCACTCTACCACTTGAGCCATGCCTCCAGCCCAGAATACATGTCTAGTCTTTTTCTTTTTTTTTTTTTTTGGTGATGGTGGTACTGGGTTTGAACTCAGGGCCTTGAGCTTGCTAGACAGGTGCTGTCGCACTTAAGTCACTCTCCCAGCTCCCAGGCTACCTACATATGTGTGCATATAACACGTACTCATCACCTACAAGCAAATGTATTAAAAATTCCTCCTACAAATGTAGGTACTGACAAAATGTGCATGTACTGAACATATCACATATATGTGCAGGCATGTGTGCAGACAGCAGACTCCTTCATTTCCCTCTCTTTCCTCCACACAGACACACACACTCATGTGCAAGCATGTATGGACACATCTTCTGTCTTCACGGAAAAAGGTGAACACAAAATTGTTCATGAGTGTCCAGCACAGTGCCCCTGGGAAGGAGAGGGATGGAATTTAAGCAGGATTGATGGAGGGGTTTAGTGTTGCCCAGGGGGCAGAGGTCTTTTCTCAACCTTACAGGGGCCTGCAGGTTTCCAGGATCAGCCCCTTGGGTCTGTGTTAGGCAGGCAGAGCTGTGGGGAAGAGGGCAGAGACTCATGTGTCCCTCTCCTGGGCACTGCTTGAGTCCTAGCCAGAAATGAGACCTAGAGACCCCAGGACTTGCCCATGGTGGGATCTCTGGCCCTGTGCAGTCTCCACCAGGTTTCTGCCTCCCTCCCTATCTCACGCCTCTTGGCTCCTGAACCCAACAGCCTGGCAGGAAAAGATAAAATATAAGTCCTGCCTCCCCACCCTTATGGATCTCATAACAAGGCAACAGTTTCCAGCAGCAGAGGCTGGATTTCAGGATTGCCAGGAGTGGCAGGTCACCCCCAGAGCGTGCTTCGCCACCAAGGCCTTCTTGGCATGCTCTGTTTGACCACCTGCAGGCTGTGAGGAGTGAACTATGGCTGACTGATGTACTTTCCCAGATATGAAGCCTGACTGCCAGTCCCCTTAGCTGTCCCAGCAAGCTGAGGCCTACATACATGGAGGGCAGGACAGGGCAGGGCCAACCAGGGTCCAACCGATAATGGGTCTGGCCTAGCCCATGAGCCTCCAATTTGAGTCCTTCTGGCAGTGGATCTTGAAAGGAGCCCCAAGGTGATTGGTAACAACCTCTGACCCAGTGCAGAGGTAGATGGGCCTTGGAGACAACTGACCATGCAACTGGCTTTAAGTCCTGCTCCCGACTCCCCCCGGCTTACAATTCCCACCAATGCACTTTCTCTGTGACTCATTTCAGTGAGTGATTCTGCAGCCCCAAAGCCAGAATTTGGAAGCCATCCTTGTCCCTCTGCCCTCCCTCATCCTCCATTGTCCACCCATCCAACAGTCCTTGGTTCTATTGGCTCTTCAATGAGTCCTCTCTTCCCAGAGATCTAATCAGCTAGTGTTTCTGGAGCACTTTCTTAAGCCAATTGTCACACCAGGCGTGGGGACAGATGAATAGCTGAGACACCCCTATCTCTGTGGACAAGCTTGGATGCCTGTGTGTACATGTGGACCCTGGTGGACAGAGTTGGTAGCAAGTCGGCAGAGCCCACAGGAACCCCCTGAGGGTCAGTTCCATGGGAGCTGAGCTTCCAACCAACATGGGGCAACAGAGAGGACTGATTTTTTTTTTTCATTTTTCTTTTATTATTCATATGTGCATACAAGGCTTGGTTCATTTCTCCCCCCTGCCCCCACCCCCTCCCTTACCACCCACTCCACCCCCTCCCTCTCCCCCCGCCTCAATACCCAGCAGAAACTATTTTGCCCTTATTTCTAATTTTGTTGTAGAGAGAGTATAAGCAATAATAGGAAGGAACAAGGGTTTTTGCTGGTTGAGATAAGGATAGCTATACAGGGCATTGATTCACATTGATTTCCTGTGCTTGGGTGTTACCTTCTAGGTTAATTCTTTTTGATCTAAACCTTTTCTCTAGTTCCTGTTCCCCTTTTCCTATTGGCCTCAGTTGCTTTAAGGTATCTGCTTTAGTTTCTCTGTGTTAAGGGCAACAAATGCTAGCTAGTTTTTTAGGTGTCTTACCTATCCTCACCCCTTCCTTGTGTGCTCTCGCTTTTATCATGTGCTCATAGTCCAATCCTTGTTGTGTTTGCCCTTGATCTAATGTCCACATATGAGGGAGAACATACGATTTTTGGTTTTTTGGGCCAGGCTAACCTCACTCAGAATGATGTTCTCCAATTCCATCCATTTACCAGCGAATGATAACATTTCGTTCTTCTTCATGGTTGCATAAAATTCCATTGTGTATAGATACCACATTTTCTTAATCTATTCGTCAGTGGTGGGGCATCTTGGCTGTTTCCATAACTTGGCTATTGTGAATAGTGCCGCAATAAACATGGATGTGCAGGTGCGAGAGGACTGATTTAAATTGGCTAGATCTGACTGCTGTGCCAAGAGGAGAGCTGGGACTACCATGCAGAAAAAAGAAGTACTTCATATCTGGGGCAGGGTTCTGGGATCCAGTTCTGCTGTTACATACCTGCTGAATACCACCTCAGGGCCTCAGCTTTTTCATGCCAGGCCTCTGATTCGAATTTCCCTAACCTTGTAGCTTTGGGTTGGCAAGGATTTGATTTTGTGAGGAGACTGGTAGGGGTCTTGGGAAGGTTTGCCCTCATCCTGCTTTGAGCCTTGACCCTGAGCTGAGTGAGGGGCTGGCAGGCAGCCATGGGGTCAGAGGTAGGTGAGGGGGAGCTGGAAGAGCAGGCGCCAGACCGCCCCAGGACTTGGTGTGCGGTCGGCCTGCACTTGCTCTGACATCAGGGCTGGTGAATTTGGAGGAGTTCAGCCAGCTCCACCAGTCGGCACCTCCCTCACAGCCTGGTGCTGGGCAGAAGCAGCTGGAGGAGCATGGGGGTGGGGGCCTTCAGGGAGGGGCTGAGAAGAGCCAGGCCTGGGAGCAGAGCTGTGTTCTCCCTCATCTGCTTTGGAGCCAATCCATAGGATGGTGCAGGTCCTCATCCAACCCCCTTCCCACTCCAAAATTCCCATCTCCCGCTCTTCCTTCCTCTCACTCAGACCCTCTTCTTGGTATCTCTTTTCTCTAGGCTCCCCTCCAGCTACTGACTCAGTGGTCTGACTATGAAGGGAAGGGAGCTGCAGGGGTGCTTTGAATCTTGTACCATCTGCTTTCCTAGAACCAACAATGAGCCTTCATCTCTGCCCTTGACTGACTCTCTACTTCAGCTGCAGAAGGAGCCCTGCCCTGCCCCAAGTAGCAACTCCTAGATATTCTCACAGTAGTCCAGGAGGGACCATGTAACTCACCTGAGGGTGGAGAGTTTGGAGGGATCCTGGGTAAATCACTACAATCTGTTACCACCTCTTTCCTATAGGGTTCCCACCCCAGAGACCCAGCCAGTCACCTTCTCCTGGAGGGTGGGAGATAAGGCTGGGACCCTGCTCACCCTGCATCTCCCCATCCCATGCTGCTGGTCCAGGTACATGTCCAGGTGCGTGTCCAGGTAGTTGGGGGCCATGGATCCTTCTAACATTTCTTCTCCTTCTTGGGTCCCTCAAGGCAAGAGACTGGGCTTCTCTGACTGAAACTTGGGTTTGATTCTCCAGGCTTCAGTGCTCAGACCTGTAGGGGCTATAAGCACTGTCTGGGGGAAAGAGCTGCTGTAGAGGCCTCTTTCAAGGTCTCTACCAAAGATTCCACCCGGAGAAAGAATGTGGGGAGCGGTTTGGCTCACCCTGTCCAGACGGCTACTTGGAACACATACTCACAGACATGCAACATGCACGCCTTTTGGCACTTGACTTTCTCATGAAATAATTGCTGGAAGGCTCCTTGGATTAGGTAACCCAGTGTTCCTTCCTGTCCCCACTGGGGGGCGGGATCAGCAGTTAGCATCTGTTAGGCTGATCCAGCTCCTTCAGAGCAGGGAAAGCCAGTCTAGGAGGGTCTGTGAGCTCCAAACAACCTTGGAAGTTGAACACTACTGTGGGAACAAACTTTTCAGCCTTCTTCTTCCTGTGGGCCATCTGGCTGTGCCTGTCCAGGCTCCCAGACTCTTTCAGGCAGAGCCCAGATCCAGGAAAAAGAAGGCTAATTAGGAAATTCCTTTTGCACAAAGGATGGGATGTTCTCATTTTTATTTATAATCAGTTTTACAATGTCCATCATCCTGTCATCCTGAAGCAATAGCTGTCTCACCTTTCCTTTGTCTTGTAATGGTTGCAGGTTTTGTGTGTGTGTTTAGAAGGGATGGACCATCTAGGATCAGGAATGATAGGACCCTTGAAGAGAATGGAGGCTGGGAATCCTACCTGCGGGTAGAGGCCAGTGACTGAGCTCATGGGGGAGGCATGTGCTTAGTCCCAAAGCTGCCCATGGTGGGATTTGGAGATTCAGCCCTAAGTACACCCTCCATCTGCTGTCCTCTCCATCTGCTGTCAGCTTCTCCTCGATCCCCTAACAGGGCAGAGGTTTTTTGGTGAGCCTGGACCCTTTACTTACCACTGGTAGAAAGGGCTCAGTTGCAGAGACTTTACCACCTGTCTGTCTCCTTCTTAGGTCTTACAACAGGTGAAAGAATTTTCAGGCGAGGGTCTCTCAGGTGAGTATGTGCATGTGAGAAACCGGTGGTGACAGGTACAGGGTGAGGGTACTGAGGGTAGTTGCTACTGCTCTCATATCACCCAGTGAGAGCTAAAATCTTCACTCCCAATAGAACCTATGTCCTGCAGGTGAGAACCCTGTGGAAACGCACAATCCTCGGCTGTGGTACCCAAAGTAATGTCCACTTGAGAGCCCGGGACTTCTTCCGGTGAGCCCACAGCCCCTCCCCAACACGGTACGCCACTCCTCCGGAGTCAACAGGGTCTCGGACTCTGCACTTCTCTCTCCGCTACGCACCCTGAACCCTTGAAAAGGAGGAGGGCAAGGTCTTCATTTGCGCCTCGCGGACCCACGCATCACCGCCGCGGGACTCCAGGGTAGGGTATCCCGGTAGCAGGTCGGGTATCCTGTCGCGAGTCGGGTCCCGCCCCCCAAGGTCCCGCCCCCCTCTCGCGCCCAGTCCCAGGGCTCTCAGGGCCCGCCCCGCCCTGCGCCCGCCCCTCCAGCTGCCCCTTGGACTAAACCCAGGGGGGACGGTCAGTCGCGGCACTGAGCTGGAGAGGTCGGATCCCTTCTCGTCTCTGGTGGGTTTCGGATCGGCGCGCCCTGCTCGGCTTGGCCATGGAACCTACCCAGGACGCCGAGGAGGCGCGCTCTGTGCGCGATGCGCTGGGCCGCTATGAGGCGGCGCTGGAAGGTGCGGTGCGCGCGCTGCACGAGGACATGCAGGGGCTGCAGCGCGGCGTGGAGCGGCGGGTGGCCGAGGCGCTTCGCCTGGCCGGCCCCCTGGCGCGCACCGTGGCCGAGCTCCAGCAGGACAACCAGCGGCTGCAGGCGCAGCTCGAACGCTTGACGCGCCAGGTGGAGGCGCTGGGCTTGGCGACCGGGCTGTCCCCTGCACCCGGCACACCCAGCCCCCCGCCCGCAGCAGGGGTTTCGGACCGCGCACCTCGCCTGGGCACCGCACGCTTCGCTAGCCACGCCACTTTCTCGCTGTCCGGCCGCAGCCAGGTGAGTTTGGGGAGGACTGCATACCTGCGTAGGTGCATGTGCTATTGAACTGGGGGGGTGGGGTGGGGTTCTGTGCTTTGGTGCGGCCTCTCCATCCTGAGTACGTGCGCTTGCGACCATCCTCTGGTCTGGGGGCTATGACTCCACCTGCTGCTGGGACTTGGTAATGGGGATCCCATCACAACTTGAGAGTTGGAAAGGGCAGGAGAAACACTGCTTAGCCTGCCCCTTGCACCTGTCTTGCACCCCCTCCCTTCTTTGGAGTGAGGCCCTGTTTGCTTTGCGTTCTGTCTCCTTCTCCCCTCTGTCCCATGGCATTAAGAGTTTGAAGGCTGAGGTACAGCACCTGAAGGTTCAGTACCGCCTGGGGCCTCCTCTGTGTTGGAAAGGTCAGCTCCCTTTACCAGCCCCTTACATTTCCAGTCATAGGCCTGACGTTGCCGCTTCACCGAGGCCTGACTGCTCAGGTTATAGATTAACCCTATTGGGAACTCAAGCCTCTGTATGTAAATGTGTTTGTGTGTGTTGGGGGTGGGGAGGTGAGGGTTGTAGTCTGGTCCAGGCTGCTCGGCAGCTATTTTTGAGAACGCACATTACAGGGGGGCAAATCCCTTACTGTGAAGGTAGAGAAAGGGTCATTTAATAGTATCTAGATTTCTGGGGTCAGCGACTGGCCAGAGGCCGGTGTGGACCAGTCACTGTCTCTGAGTATGGGCCTCCCATAGTGGGAGTTACAACGTTTCTATGGTGTGTGCACTGGCCCTTAGGGGGGCATCCTTTATCTTGACCAGCTATGTGCTCTGGAGCTGCGGGTCCAGGGCCTGAGTCTGAGTAGTGTGCAAGGTGGCACCTCCTTTAGGCAGTCTCTCAGGCTGCTGCCAGGTGGGGCTGCACCTCAGAGCTCCCCAGGGATGGGGATCAGAGAAGACCTTCTCTAGAGGTGTCAGCCAGGGTAGAGATGGCCTCAAACTGAGCAGTGCGGACAGTGGGAGCAACAGATGTTCTGCTCCAAACGAGGTAGTCTCTTCCCCAGGAGGGCTTTGTGCTGGAGACACAGGGCTTGCAGCACCTGGTGCAGAGGCAGTGGGTGGGGGCTGTGTATGCAGCGTCAGAACAGCCAAAAGCCCCCACTGGCTGGGGTGGAGCCTCCAGGTGTGCAAGTGGAGGGGTGAGTTATGAAGGCCCTAGATGTTGGACAGAGGAGTTGGGCTTTGTCCCGGGACGGAACCCCTGGTATCCCAGTGCCTTGGGTGAAGTGTCTATAGAATGGTGAAAAATTGTCACGGTGAGCTCGTATGTGCCTAATAAGCTGTGTCATTGGTTGGTCTCTGAGGTTTTATTTTAACACACTTTTGCTGCTTGTCTTCTTATGGAAACAACTGTCTGTGTTTTAAGAAAAATAATCTCAGGATCACATACATATGTTGATGTATATATATATCAACATATATAAATATGATATATATAATTCATTCCGGTTGTGACTTTTTTCAATGGGAGTTTGCCATTATTCACGGGCAAACAATCCCTCTTGGTTAGGAGGGTGGTTTTGGAGGGAGAATCAGCGGGCGGGGGAGTTTTGGACTTGAGAATGAAGGCAGAGACAGGAGCTGTCCTTTGAGGAACTACTGGGTCACAGATCTGGCTGATCGCAAGGGTGCTGTGAGGCACCCCGATAAAGCTATTCCAGGGCAGATAGATTCATGGGTCCAGTGGTTCAGAGAGTAGGCAGGGCTCCAGGTTAGGGGCAGTCTGGGCACTGGTGGCAGTCCAAGTCATAGAGTGGGCATGGTCTTGCGTGCAATTATAGAGAAGGAGCCTGTGCAGATGCAGAAGAGTTTGAAGGAAAGCAAAAATCAGACCAGAGAACTGACAGAGGTGAGGAGATTCCAGACTGTCAACTTAGAAATCCAGAGAGGGGAACCCATCTGGAAGAAGAGGTTGGAGGTCAGCAGGGAGGCTGCAGCCTGTTGTGGTTGAGAATGGAGACCCAGTTGGGGAATAGAATGTGGACTGCAGAAAGGCCCCAGGGGCTGTGAGCAGTAGGTGCAGCTGAGTGTCCTGGGTAGAGGATGAGCCATTTCCAGTTAGACCAGAGGGTGCGCCACCCTTGAGCCCCAGGTGGGCTGGGCCTGAGGCACTTTCCCCCGTTTGACCCCAGAAACACTGGTCAGTCCACTGTGGCAGAAGCACCAGCATAGGCTCCGAGCCAGCTTTTCTGCTAGTGAGAGGGGCTGTGTGGAGTCATGTGTGTGTTCTGGCTCACGCTCTGTGACTAGCAAGAGACCCGGGATGGAGTGTTTGATCACAAACTGGAGTGTGGATGACGGACCAAGACACAGCTGGGTGCTGTCTGTGGCAGGGGTCTGAGTGGAAGGGTCTCATCTTGCACTCACAAGCCAGGGTGGCTGTGCTACTTGGTTTGTGGTATGGCCTCATGGATGCTGGTGCTCCCCCCGATCCCCATCCCAGCAAGCAGTGAGCTTTTGAGACCATTTCACTGGAGATTATAGGAATTGGAGTTGGGTTGTTCTCAGCATATAAATGTGCCTGAACTCAGTGCAAAAGGCTTGATTGCGTAATCCACTTCTGAGCTCACAAACCTTGACCTTGCTACAGCATAGGACTACATGGAATGGATGGCAGAGGAATGGTCAGGGAAGCCCTGGAGGAGGAGGAGAAGGAGAGTGACACGATGGGAGAAATCAGGAAGGAGTGTGCAGAAGCCCTGAAATCCCTGAGCAGACAGGAAGTGCTTCAGGGGCATTTCCTCTCAGCTGGGCCTCAGTTTTCCTGTATCTAAACCAAGGGAGATTGTCCTAGCTTTGTTGGGCCCCACACACTGAGCAGGCTGGATAGTTTGTGCTCAGACAACCTCATTCACAAAAGTGTTAAGAGCCATTGCTCTTTTCTGGCAGGGAAAAGGGAGCCAGGAGCCAGCTGGGGGGCCTGAGATGGAGGATGGCAGCCTGAGGTCAATCCCAGATTCAGACCCAGGCCCAGGAGTCTGGCTCAGAGTTATTACCTGGAAAGTCATACTCTGTTAAGCTTGAGCCTCTGGGTGCCTATGGCCTAGCAGCAAAGTCCCTCAGGAGCCGCTGCCAGGAGCCGGGTGTCAGAGGCCTGACCGTGAGAGAAACCAGACTCACCTTATCTGCCTGCCTTTCCCAGAGGCAGTGTGATAAGGGAGTTTAATGCTTTGGAGAAGTTTGGATTGAGTCCTTTAAAGCTGTGGTGTGAGTAAAGCGAGCAGATTCTGCCCTGCACAGGCTATGTCTAGCACATGTATGGGCTCTGGTGTCCACGGGTGAGCATGTGTGTTCAGGCAACTCCAAGAAATCCTGAAATGTTATTCCTTCTCCACAAAAATGTAAAGAAAGAAAGAAATAAAACATCCCCAGGAGGAGGGTCACATCTGCCAGTCCCTGAAATCAGACTTATCTTGTCCCCTGCCTCTTCCCCTGAGTTCCTAGGCCTGGCTTCCTCCCGGGGCACCTCCCCTTCCCAAAACAAAGTGGAGATGAAGAATTGTGGGAGTGCCAGCCCCATGGCTTCTCTAGCCCCATGGCTCTTTGGTGATTTCTGCCCCAGGCCTCCCAGAGTCCCTCCCAGGCTGTGGCCCACTGAGGAGCATGTCTGGGGTCTCCTGGGCTGGACTTTTGTCTGGGACAACAGCTTGCTGTAGCCCAGCCAGGCTTGGGGGCTCTGTGTTCTGTGAAGGTTCCACAGGGCTAACCACAGTCTTATACTTTTCTTCACGCTCACTGGCTTAAGGCAGACCTGGTGGGGCCAGGGCTTTTCCTGAACCTGGCCCCCAGGAGACATGTTTGTCGTGAGTAGTCTTCTCTGCCCTCTGGAAGGTCAGAGCACTTTGTGGACAGAGCCCTGGGTTGAGAGGAAACCAGACCCACACTGTGATTTGATTACTGCCTTTAGCCACAGTGTAAGTTTGAGGGACCTCTGCCCTCAGCCTCTAACTTGGTTTCCTGTCTATGTGGTGATGGGCTCAGGGTGGTCTCAGCCTGAGGTATGGACAGAGCCCTTTCTCCAGATGAGAGGTGGTTATAGGCTGGGGCTGGAAGAGTGAGGGGCATGGGGAACGTGGGAGTCTGGGCTCAGTTCCAGGCCCCAGTACCTGCTGACCTCCCAGTCCAAGTTAGCTCAGCCCCTTCCCCTCTTTCCTTACCTCAGACCCCTTAGCAGGAATCTGCTGATACAGAGGTGCAGAACCTACTTCCTGTCTGCTCCCCTGGGGCATCATGGGGTGGGGGTGCAAGGTCTGTAACATGCGGGAACAGGTGTCTTGGGGGGCCCCCCACAGACACCTACATTCCTGGGAAAATGATTTCGCCATCAGCCTGTCCCTGGAGGCTGGACCTGTAGAACCTGTTGGACAAGAATGGGGTGGGTGGGGGGACAAGGGGACCCTAGAGCTGAGTTGGCTCTGGTGACTGGGACTGGCTGGTTCTCCTCTAGCTGTTGACTGGGCATCAGGTCTCCAGAGGTGCCCTCCCTGCTCTGGAGTATGGGATGCCATACCCCTTTCCCGTGGTCCTGCTGTCCTATGGGTGGGCCTGGCTTCTCTCCTCCACCCTCCTGAGACAGAAGTTGAGGGCTGCCTCCTCTCTAAAGCCAGACTCTTCGCAGGTATGGGTCCTGTCCTCTGTCAGCTTCCTAGGGACCCACCCTGCTGATGGAACCTTTCTCTCAGCCTGTCAGTGTGGTTTTGCTTCTTCCATCTGGAAAAACCCCTCAAACGCCATCTCTAGCTCTTCTTGCTTGGCCAAGATGCAGGCAGCTGGAGAAGCCCCTGCAGTCCAGGCCGTCCTGCCCCAATTTCTCTGGTTTTGTTTTTTCATCCATCACCAGTGATCTCTTGGCTAAACGCAATGGACGTGTCTTCCATCCTATCTTGATCTTCTCATCCTTGACCTCAGGTTACCTTTGGATGTGCTAGCCTTCTTGTTGTTTCTTTCCCTGACTTTCTCAACCTCCTGCTGGGTTTCTTCCCACCTCCCTTGCTGTTCCTTCTAGTCTCCTTGCAGATGCAGACACCTCTTCTGCTTCCTGACGTGTGGGGTCTCATCCTAGCCCCCACTCCATGTTGGCCCTCACTCTGTGGGCTGCCAGAGCCTGCACAGGCAGGACTGTTTCCCCAACATCCACCCTCCTTTTCTTTACACTTCATGCTAACAAAACCAGCTACCTCCTCAATTCTTTCAGGCCCTAGAAGCCCCTTACACCCATCTTGTCTAAACTGTATGTCCTCGCTTCTCCCCCAAACCTTCCCAGTCACTCAGGCCCCAAGCTTGGACTTGGGAGAAACTGGGCACCTTCCTCCCACCTCATCCACTCACTGAGTCAGATGCCTTCTTCCCCAGAGTTTTGAGTTCTTGCCTTTGGCCTTCCCACATCTTTGACCCATACTCCCTCCCCAGTTTTCCTCCAGGTACTAAGGAGTCTCCTTGCCTTCTCCGTTCCTGCTACTCTCGCTGGTTTCTGAAGGGTGTGCCTAAACACACTGTAGGCACCTTCTTATCTAAGTCCAAGTACTCTAGGCAGCCAGCATGGGCTGTAGGATCATGCAGGGTCACAATGCCTATGTCTTCATGTCTCTGCTTTTGTGCCTGACAGTCACTCTTTTGGGAGTGGTCTTCCCTCTGTGGGTACCTGGCTCATTCTGGATGCAGATCAGGTACCTTATCTCTAGAGTGCCCTTCCTGCCTATATAGGCTAAAGTCTTTCTTAGGTGTTATCATGCTAGCCTGGCACCGTCTGTGCACCCACCAATCTGGTTTCCCCTGAGGCAGGGTGGACCCGAGCCATCTGGGGCTGGAATGAACTGTTGTCTGGGAAGCAAATAGATCAGGGAAACACCCTGGGGGCATCTAGGGAGACGCACAGCCAACCTGTCAAGCCACTCAGCATTGGTTCCTGCCAGAGTTCCTGGTTAGGGTCTGCTTCTGTCCCCTCTTGCCATGCTAACACCCCTTAAATCCCACAGACATTCTGAACCTGCCACACCCTCATTGGGAGGGGCAGGATTCAGGGAGAGGAGGAGGAGGAGGATTCCTCCTGACCTAGATCCCAGCTGTGTTTCACTGGACACCCTGGGCAGTGCACGTCTTCTCTCTGAGCCCCTGGGTCCCATCTGTGAGATGAACCTGATGTTTGGGAGATGCCCAAATGGTGCTTGCATGGCCTCCTGCGTTACTCAAGCTGAGACCCAGAGGGAACATGATGTGGCTTAGGTCACATGGTGGGTTGGCAGCTCAGTCAGGATCTTGCTCTCTGTGGTCTTTGCTCTCTGCCTGTCTCCTGCTGGCCCTACCCCTTGCTGCAGCCCAGGGAGGATGGAGGGTGGCACAAAGCCAGCTAGGCCCCTCCATTTTGCATGCTGGAGGAAATCTTGTGTCCCAGCATGCAATTAGAAAGTCTTTGGTGTGAGGGGCTCCTTATCCCTCTTTGACCCTCAGGAACTTTGTACCTTCCTGTTGCTGCTGCTCCAACATGGCAGAATGTCAGCCAGGTCCAGTTGGGAGGAGCGGGAACCAGGCTGTCCTGACCCATCGTCTGGTCCAGCCTGAGGGGAGGGACAGAGCCACCTAACACTGTTTCAGAACCATCATCTTTTTTTGGGTTCTGGGATGAGCTCAGTGTTTGCCTCTCAGGCTGGTAGAGGCTCTGTTCTGGGTTGGGTTTGTCCCAGCTTGCTCTTGACCTTGGCTCACCACTCTACCTCCTGGGGGCTATTTTCTCTCAAAATGAGAGAGATTTGTCTTGCCAGAAACCAGGAGGGGCTTTGGAATTGGCTTCAGGTTGGGAAGCTGGGCCCAGCTAATGGTTGTGATGGTGTCTCTGCAGAGCATGGATCATGACGAAGCCAGTGAGCCAGAAACAAGACGAACCTCAAACTCGTGTGTCACTGAAAACGGACACCTGCCTGGTGCAGGTAAGGGCCAAGGGCAGAAGGGAGGTGGCTGGGTAGCTTTGGGGGTCAAGGCCTTGACCAGTCTTCTGTGCCAGCCATCTCTTGGGCAGAGAGGCTGCCAGGAGAGCAACCTCATTCAATGTGTAGAACTTTCTACCCAGAGGAAAATGAGCTTCCCCAGCCAAGGAATTGTCCAAATATTGAAGAAGGTAAAGTACCTAGTCAGTTAGTATTTATTTCAGCTGCCTATAAGGGAAGGTTGGGAAGAATCAACTCTTGTTGGAGAAGCAAGACATCCCCAGTAAGGCAGGAGGTAGGGAGACTGGGCTCAGGAAGACTAGATCCTGGGGGGTGGGGGGTCTTAGGCCCCTGTGGATGGCACAGCTGACCCACTCACTCAGCTGGTCACATGTTCCAGGTCCAGGTGATGGATCCTCTGAGGCAGCCCAAACCTCAGCACCACAGCCTTCTAGACCTCGCCCTGTGAGCCTCTCCTTGAGGCTGCCACACCAGCCAGTCACAGCTGTCACCCGAGTCTCTGAGAAGTTCTCTGGGGAGACCTCAGCTGCAGCTCTGTCGCCTACATCTGCTGCCATCCTAGGGGGCTTCAGCCCAAGCCCCAGTGAGGCCACCACCCCATGGACTCCTAGTCCCACTGGTAGGAGCAGGAGAGTATGATGTGGGTACCAGCCCCATCTGTGCCGTGGAAAAGAGAGGGCTGGGGGCGGGACTCAGAAGACCCAGGCCAGGCCTCCGCCTACTTCTGCTGTATCAAAGGGGGCCTGCCCTTGCCAGAGATGCCATGGAACAGCATTACCCCTGTAGGGGACAGCCACAGCTTTTATGACAAGTCAAGGCCATGGTCAACCTGCACATTTGGCACAGTCCCACCCCCCTCCAATTCCCCTAGGTCTGACTTGGGCCTGTGGTCAGGCCCCAGGAGTGTGTCCTAGGCTGGGGCCACATGGGCTTCTGAAGGAGAGTTTGGGGAGTGTTTGCTGGTCACATAGTACAGAAGGCTCTGTGCCCTCAGGGGAGGGTTGGAAAAGTTTAAGAGACCTCTTTGATGTCACTGCTCTATTTTCCTACCCTTTCTTCTTGGCTTTGCTGAGGTAGGGCCAGCTGGGTTCTTGCTGGTCCACAGAAAGATATGCCAGGTAAATGGTACAGGGATGAGTCAGAGGAAGGGAGGCTGAGGCCAGGTTAGTTATTTGTGTCTTCTCTTTGTCCTGCAGAAAAGAATTCATGTTTCACGAGGTCTTTGTCGAGCTCTGGGTATGGGGCAGTGACAGCAGGCAAATGCAAGGACAGGTGAGTCAGTTGCTCCCCAGGTGGCTTCTCTGCTTCTTCTGGGACCCAGATGCCCAGGTCACCTTCAGGGAGATGCTTGTGCTGACTGTCCTGGGGTGGGTGCTCTGCAGAACTTGGGCAGCTGTTGGCAGGTGGGTATGATCAGGAGAAGTGAGGTGGATGGGGTTTCTGGAGGGTGTTGTTTGGAGAAGTGTAGCTGCAGTTTGGCTTCTTTGTGGACCTCTGAAGCAAGTCAGTTAATAGGTTGCAGGGGTCTGTGCCTCCACGGGAAGAAGGTGGATGGACTGGCTGGGATCCCACAGAGCTGGATACTTTTTGCCATGAGCTGATCAGGTGCCTGGTGCAGGCAGGAGGGGCTTCACTGTGGTGCAGGCCTCCTTCAGGCCTGTGGGGGCCCTTGTTGCTCCCCCAGGTCCACTGGACTGTGGTTGAAACTGAGGATGGGGTGGCAAGCTTGGCTTTTTTTTTTTTCTTTTAATAATAAAAGGAGAATTGTGACTTCCTGGCAGATTGTTCCAGAGGAAGAACAAAGGGGGTCTTATCTAGTGGTGGGGGAGGGGGAGGGGGGGCTGGTTCTGGTGACTGGCTCTGGGAACACCTCCTGCTTGAGGAGAGTGTCTCCTGTCCTCCCCAGGCACTGACACCTGCCAAGCGGTGGTTATGCACAGAGTTGGGGCCCATTCTCTCTCCTAGCTGGGCCTGCTGGCCAGGCATGCTGCAGATAGCAGCTCCAGTTAGAAAACCTGCCAAGCCAGTTGGGGACTGTGCAGGTGGGGCTTGCTTTCTGGCCACCAGTCTTCTGCCAGCCTGTCGTGTGCAGGATGTTTGTCTCCCTCACGCTCAGTGCTGGGCTCAACCTTGGTCTTAGGGGAGACAGTGACTAGATCGTGACACAGCGGAGCCTGGGGCCTACTGGCCAATACCATGTCCTGTTAGAGATTGGTTTCTTTGGGCTTATGGCCTGTCTTTGCATATTTATCCAGCCTTCTTGTTAGTGCATGGTATTGACACCTACTGTGTTGCAGTGTGGTCCAGGCTTGTATGATGAATGGATGACAGCCAGTCCCTACCAGTCTAGTGAGGAAGTCAGACCCAGGAAGCTCCCCCCGACCCAATACCTAACCTTGGTTCTTAGAGAGTCTCCTTGGGCCCAGAGGAGACTCTTTCTCATGGCTAGGAAAGTGCCATCAGGAAGGAGGCTTCCATCGGAGGGAGGCTCAGAAAGAAGAGGGTAAGGTGAAGAGAAGAGGAGGTGGTCCAGACAGAGGGCAGGGGCTTGGGCCATGCCGACTCCGTTCCTCTGTCTCAAGTTATTTGGTGACCCCTGCTTCCTGCTGTGGAAATTACATGGGGGTCCTGGATGGTAGGAAGGGGCGGGTGGTCCTGCCACACATCATCCAAAGATCTGTATGGCTGGTATGTGTGGCTGTGCTGTGGCCGTGGCTGTGGAAACATGTGCTGTGTACTAACCCAGTGTCTTCCCAGGGAGTAGACCAGGTGGGGTAGGAATGTCCCCATGCCCCCCCACAGCAGGCCCTGCCCTCTCTCCACAGGAGCAAAGGTGAGACCCGAGCCAAGTTGAAGCGGTCACAGAGCTTCGGTGTGGCCAGCGCCAGCAGCATAAAGCAGATCCTGCTTGAGTGGTGCCGCAGCAAGACCCTGGGATACCAGGTGAGCCAGGCCTGAGGCAGAGCAGGCACCACCCCTGGCCTTCCCCTGCTGGCAGGGCCAGAGCTTGCTCAGGCTGGAGGGAAGAGTAGCAGCCAGAGAACTCCTGCCTTCTGAGGGAGTGGGCACCTGCATGCTTGCAGCATGTGCTTAGAAGTTCCAGGAGTTGGGATCTGGCCTGAGCAGACTATAGTCACCTTAGGGGGGTAAAGTCTGGCAGTGATTATTGCTGAACAGGGTGATGGTGGGCCTTGGGGAGAGCTTGGGAGAGTATGCTCATGAGGCTCCATGGGGTGCAGGGAGCGGGGTAACACCATTCCTCTGCTCCTTGCAGCACGTGGACCTGCAGAACTTCTCCTCCAGCTGGAGTGACGGGATGGCCTTCTGCGCCCTGGTGCACTCCTTCTTCCCTGATGCATTTGACTACAATGCCCTGAGCCCCACACAGCGACAGAAGAACTTCGAACTGGCCTTCACTATGGCTGAGTAAGTGTGGCAGGTCCTGCTGGCTTCTAGCTTTAGCCCAGACTCAGGGCCCAATTTCTGCTCCTGATGGGGTCTGGGGCTGGTCAGGTCATGGGGCAGCTTTCCTGAGAGCTGGGGGGATCTTGAGGCCTTCTGGTCTGTCTTCTTGTACAGATGGGAAGACTGAGGCCTGGTGAGGGCTTTTTCTAGGGTCACACAGCACTCCTCCTGCGCTCTTCACTACATTCCTGGCCCATCCGCCCAGCTCCACCTCCTTTTCCAGGCTCCAAATTTGACCAGAGAACGAGTGCAGCCAACGGTCTCATAACTAACCTGTGCTTGGTATTGCAAGCCTGCCTGAGCCAAGTGGCCAGCCCTCTCTAGGGCAGCAGCACTCGCTCTAGGGGCAGAACTGGGCCTCTGGTTCTGAAGTTTTGGCATACCAGTACCCATCTGTTGTGTTGTCTCTGGTAATGCACTCAGACTTTCTGTTCCCTTGGAGTCATAAGAACGCCTCTGTATACTTTAAAAGCCTTTCTTGGCCTCTTGGGATCAGTTGTCATCCTAATGGCAGAAACAGCTTTGGATAAGTGTGTTACGCAACTGGATGCAGACGATGATGGAGCCTTGCCATGCATGCTTGCAGCATGTGCTTAGAAGTTCCAGGAGTTGGGATCTGGCCTGAGCAGACTATAGTCACGTTAGGGGGTAAAGTCTGGCAGTGTTATTGCTGAACAGGGTGATGGTGGCTTGGGGAGAGCTTGGGAGAGTATGCCTCATAGGTCATGGTGCAGGGAGCGGGGTAACACCATTCTCTGCTCCTTGCAGCACGTGGACCTGCGAACTTCTCCTCCAGCTGGAGTGACGGATGGCTTCGTGCGCCCTGGTGCACTCCTTCTTCCCTGATGCATTTGACTACAATGCCTGAGCCCACACAGCGACGAAGAACTTCGAACTGGCCTTCACTATGGCTGAGTAACGTGTGCAGGTCCTGCTGGTTCTAGCTTTAGCCCAGACTCAGGGCCCAATTTCTGCTCTGTGGGGTCTGGGGCTGGTCAGGTCATGGGGCACTTTCTGAGAGCTGGGGGATCTGAGGCCTTCTGGTCTGTCTTCTGTACAGATGGGAAGACTGAGGCCTGGTGAGGGCTTTTTCTAGGGTCACACAGCACTCCTCCTGCGCTCTTCACTACATTCCTGGCCCATCCGCCCCAGCTCCACGTCCTTTTCCAGGCTCCAAATTTGACAGAGAACGAGTGCAGCCAACGGTCTCATAACTAACCTGTGCTTGGTTTGCAAGCCTGGCCTGAGCCAAGTGGCAGCCCTCTTAGGGCAGCAGCATCGTCTTAGGGCAGATGGCCTCTGGTTCTGAAGTTTTGGCATACCAGTACCCATCGTTGTGTTGTCTCTGGTAATGCACTCAGACTTTCTGTTCCCTTGGAGTCATAAGAACGCCTCTGTATACTTTAAAAGCTTTCTTGGCCTCTTGGGATCAGTTGTATCTAATGGCAGAACAGCTTTGGATAAGTGTGTTACGCAACTGGATGCAGACGATGATGGAGCCTTGCCAAATGTCACGGCCTGACATGGGAGGGGATGGCTCACAGGAGGAGGCCAGCTGCTTGAATCTCAGGAATGGTGACTGCCCAAAATCAGATTGTTAAAATATGTGGGATCAGGGCTCCCACGTGGGCACCAGACCCACCCTGCTGGGGAGGCCATGTTTGGCTTACATAGTTTTTCACTGTCTGAGTAGTGGGCCTTGGCCCAGTGCCAACTCATGTGTGGCCACCTTGGTCACCCTCAGCCTGGACCAAGCTCAGTTGTAGCAGGGCCATGGAGTGGTGTCCTTGTGCTCCAGTTTTACAGGGAACATAGCTTCCCTAGGCAGTCAGAGCCAGAGTGATTCCGGACCGTGCTTTTCCAGCATGAGGTTGCGTTCACAAAGCCTCCAGACTCCAAACAGATGTTTCTTCTATTCCCAACCTGGGTGGGGGGCATAGTGAGGACTGGTTCAGGCTTTGCCTCTTTCCTTTCCAGAGCAAACAGCAGAGTGAAAACCTTGGCCCTGCCTCTCTGTGGCCTGAGCTTGGTTTTGGCTGGTGAGGGGAGGAGGGCACGACAGGACTCTGGGATGCATTCTGGCTTTTCTGTACTCCAGATGGTGGGGAGGGGCTGGCCTGTGGGGAGCTTGTGCAGAGCCTGGGCTGATACTCCCTTATGAGTCATCCATGAAGTTACCACACAGGTACGTGGAAGAGGGCTGGGGAGACAGGCTGGCCTCCCTGGGGCTCTTGGGGGCAGCCTCCTGGATCCCCTAGTTTTTTGGACAGTAGGCTGTTTAGAAGCTGCAAGAAAGCACGGACACCTGCTTAAGGACACGGGCATGTCAATGAGATGGTCTGCTAACACCATCTCAGCTGACACATGGGTTATTGAAGCCATCAGAGCCAGTGCAGGCAGAAGACAAAGCTAAGGAACTTTTGGGAGAGGCAGTGTGTGATGAGAGGAGCTGGGGGTCTTTGGAAGTGGAAGAGGACATAGGGTTTGCAAACCATGCATCCAGCTGGCATCAGAAAGGAGATGTTTCCAGAACCTTCTGTGAGAAAGTGCCTTTGAGGCACAAAGATACATCAGGAAGCTTTGGAGTAAAAGTAGTGTGTGCTGCCCATCCCCAATAATTTCTGGGCTTTGAGATTCCTTGTGGCCTAATCTGTGTGAGTGATGCCGTGTTGACAGCACAGTGAGCTTCCCTTGCCTGACAGGTGTTCAGGGCCTGGAACGATGGTACACCAGTCCCTTTTATGGATGGGGCTGAGTTGGGTGGGTGCCTGGCCTGCCCACACTTTTCCTCCCCACCTCCTCACAGAGCAGAGCATAGGCGTGTGGCCCAAGGCTTCCCGCTTGCCCTGCATGGAATGTGTCCTGCTCTCGGGTTACCCCCAGCAAAAGGGGCTCAACGGCTATTTGTAGTTCCCATGTGTCTCTGTCTAAAACCAGATGGGAGGCAGCAGTCCAAGCCCTGGCATCCTGATCCACATTTAGAGCAGACTTAAAAAAATAAAAAATAACCCCCAACTCCTCTTCCATGCTTGCCCTTACAGGACAGTCCAAAGCCAGACAATAAATGGGAGCAGGAGAAAACTTTTAAGTTCATGACAGTAGGCTCTTGCTACCCTGATTCTAGCTGAGTGGTGGCATTTGAAGTGATTTGTACTTTCTCCTTTGGATTTTTCCATTAGTTTGAATTATTTAAAACAAACTTGGCTGGGGACATGGCTCAAATGGCAAATGCAAGGCCCTGAGTTCAAACCCCAGTACCATCACCATAAAACAAGCTGGGGTCATTTTTACAAAAGCAGTTTTTTAAAATGTAAAAGACAATTAAGTTGTCACTGTTTTGAGACTGAAATATTTTAGTAAAAGTCAGTGGTGGCTAGCACTTCTCTCCTATCATGTCTCCCAAGTTCTGTTTGGCCTGTGCTGGCAGGGTCTAGGAATCTTGTCACCACTGCTGCTGGCTCCAGCATGTCTCTGAGGGAGCATGCTGTCTGCAGGGATGAGTTGGGCTAGAAGGCAAGTGCCCTTGAGGGTCTGCTGTAGGCCATGCAATGGCCTCAAAGCCAGAGGCACCATTCTACCTGTGAGATGGAGGATTTGGGGCTTTCTAAGGGAAAACGTGGGTGAGGAGCAGAGGTGGTACAGGGAAAGGAAAGAGGGTCTTCATACTTAGCCATTTCAGTGGTTTAGGCAGGAACAACTGAAAGGGCATCCTGCTCACTTTGCGAAATTCTTTTGCCCTTGTTCTGTTTGGGCATAAGCTTCTTGTTTTGCTTTCTCCTCCTTTTGTGGTTTTACATCAACTAATTGATTATATAATCTGTAAGAAATTTATTTGAAATTAATACAAATATTGCAGAAAGGTTATTCTCTGAAACGAAGCAAGCAAAAACTGCCTTAAAGCCCTTTGATGCACGCCAGCTCTTGCAGTCTGTCTTTCTTTAGGAAGAGATGCTCTAACTTTATTTATACCCTAGAGGCGACTCACAGATGAGCCCAAGAAAAGAGCAAGTGATTTGATAAAAAAGAAGGTGAAAAGGTTAAAAAAAAAAGGGAGGGGGACCTGAGAGATGATGGCTGCACATTGTATGCTGTGATCTGCCTTCTTAGGGATCCCCACTGCTCAACTTCAACAGTGGGCTAGGATGGGGACCAGATGGATTGCAGTCCAGTGCCCTGACTGCCTGCCAGGAAAGCCAGCACCTTGCCCATGGCTTGCTGTTGGCAGCAGAGGGTAATGCTAGGGTGAGGCCTTCATTCCCATCCTGATAGCCACCCTGATCTAGAGGATTTGCTGCCTGGACAGGGCAGGGGAGCATTGGTTGGAGAGTAGATGCCACCTCTAGAATGAAGGGGGGTGTCCATTCACTCTCCACTGCCCAGGTCAGACAGCACTTGGAAAATGTTGGCAATTCTGAGTGCCTCCGTGACATGGGCTAGAGAGAAACCAGAATGAGTTCAGAGGAGAGAGTCCTTAGTACCCTTCGGGGAAATGATAAAGGAACCAGAGAGATTTCATTTTAGGGAAAGACATGACATGAAGATTCTCTTGTGGGAACAATAAGTAGAAAGTCCAGAGGAAAAATAGTAGAAGCAACATGAGAAGCAGCTTTCTTGAGGCCAGAGCCTTCTGCAGAGGGGTTGAATGGTCCTTGGAGGGCTGGTTACGTGTTTTTCCCTGGACTGGAGGTAAGCAAGCTGAGGCAGGGCCTTTACAGAGATGGTGGGCCTTCTATTTGGATATTTGGATGGGGTGACGTTTGAGTTCTCTTCCAAGGCTGAGGTTCTAGTACTGTCCTCATTTAATGTGGGGGACTACTGAGGCCACCACTGTCAATGTTGATACCCTGGCCTTCTGCAGAGCCTGTTCTCACATACCTGGGGTCCTCTGAGGAGCAGACCTGAGAGAGAAGGAAGGGAGGGAGAAGGGGCTCTCCCTGTGAGGTGGGTGAGGAGGGTACCAGATGACAAGTGATGGCTCTGGAAGGTGAACTTGAGCCTCTGGCCTCTAAAGAACTCAAGATTTTACAAGTCTTGGCCACAAGGCACCTTTGCGTGCCTACCATGGTCACAGGGCTGACTTCCTTGACACCGAGCCTACCCTGTCCTGTCCTGAGGAGAGAGGGTGCCTACTCATTGAGCCAAGTGCCTTCTCACCCCATAGAACCTCTGGGTTCCCTTACAGGCTGCCTGATCCAACCCCAAGGAGAAGGCGGGGACAGAATCAGGACAGATATCTCCATTTTCCCTTGACATTTGGTTTCTGATAGGAGGCCTGGCACCTGGCCAGCACCACAGAGCAGGGCCGGTCGGTAATGTTGCAGGCTTTGTCTCAGGAGTACACAGGCTGGGGAGCTGCCGCATGCCATGTGCTGGTAGAAAGGCTGGGTGTGAGTCATGCTGAACTGTCTTCAAGCTCTGGGTGGGGTCCAAGGTGGCCTGCTAGCTGGGTCTCCCCTCTGGCTGGACTCATTGGAGAGCCAGGTGCATAAGGACACCCTGGGATGCACAGAAAGAGAGCAGAGATGCATTCTGATTTTCTGCCCAGGAAACAGGTCCAGAAAGGCGAAGTGATTGGCAGCATCATGAGCTGAGCCCAGCTGTTGAAATTTCACGTTTAGGCTCTTTTCCCGTGATCCCTCCTGCTTCTTAAAGGGAGGAGTGATAATAAATACAGCAATAGTAACAATTCCTCAGTGTAGGGAACTCTTTTGACATGCCAGGCACTGTTTCAATGGATTTATTTGTTCATTAATCCCCTTATCATTCATACTATTCTGTGAGATGGATGTTATTCCAGATGGGGAAACTGAGGCCTGGAGCAGTTAAGTGTGTTGTCCTAAGTCATAGAGTTAGTGAGATATGGAGCTGGGATTTGAGCCCTGACAGTTATGCACTTATTGACTGTGAGGGAAAAAGACAAAAGATGCCTAGAACTACAACAGCAGACACAGCTGCAAAAGGAAGGGCACTGACAAGTGGACCCAGTGACAGTCATTTCTGTGCTTTGGCTTCTGCCCAACAACAGGCCGTCTACATCTGGTGCCCAGGAGACCCAGGACACTGTGACCAGAGTCAGGGTGTGGTGGGGGCAGTGCTTGGCATCGAAGGGGATGTCTGGTATTACTTTAGGACTGAAAGCCGTGATGCACAGGGCTAGGTGTCTTGATGGTTGGTGTTCATCTTCCTACCTTCTGGAGGCCCTCAGCCTCCGTCTGAGCCCCAGTGAAAGGCCACAGTTTACACTTGAGTCTACACCAGGGGCTGAAAGTTAAACTAATATTTCCTAGGGCAGGAAGCCCAGGCCTCTGGGGGTGGCACTGGAGGTGGGGTGACAAGATGATTTTGAGTAATTTTTTTTTTTTTTGTGGTACTGGGGTTTGAACTCAGGGCCTCCACCTCAAGCCACTCCCCCAGTCCTTTTATCATGTTAGGTTTTTTTTGAGATCATGTCTCATGAATTACTTGCCTGGGCTGGCTTTGAACTGTGATCCTCCTGATCTCTGCCTCCTGAATAGCTAGGATTTCAGGCATGAGCCACTGGCACCTGGCTGATTTTGAGCAAGTTTTTAAATTGCCAGTTGTGACCCATTAGTATTTTGTACAATCAATCTAGTGGTTCATGACTAGCAGTTATACGAGGGAGGAGAAAGAAAGAAATATGAATTATAGAGAAAATATTGACAGTAGTGAAGATAAGAATTGCTGTGAAAGTTTATTTCCACATAGATTGAGTCATCCCTCAGTGTCTGAAAGAGATTGGTTCTGGGACACCCCACCCCTCTATCTCACTCTGCCCCGTGGAAACCAAAATCCACAGATGGTCAAGTCCTTTGTATAAAATGACCTAATTTTGCATGTAACCTCATATCCTCCTGTGTACTTTAAATTATCTCTGGGTTATTTACTTGTTTGATTTTTTGAGACAGGATCTCATAATGTAGCCCATGCTGGCCTTGAACTCGCTATCCTCCTGTCTCTGCCCCCGAGAGCTAGGATTACAGGTATAATCCACCAGGCATGGTAGTGACATACCCAATTCAATGCAACTTCCATGAAAACAGTTGTATCCTATATGGTTTGGGAATAATGAGAAGAAAAAGAAGTCTATACATGTTCAGAACAGATGAATTTTTTTCCTTTTGTATTTTCAATCCAAAATATTAAAGAAAATCAAGACCTCAGGTGTGGAACCCTTGGTTACAGAGGGCCACTTGCACATACATGTGTGTACTGAATCATGATGAAAAATACCGTGTAAAAATAAGTTTAAAAATACTGTTTCAGAAGGTAAATGGATAAATTTGGTTTTTTTGCTTTAGGTTTACATTTATTTTTATAGTTCATGATGCTTTTTCATATACTAGTCTACATTTCACTTAAAGTTTATTAAGTCTATTTAAATCAAAATATGAATTGTGTAGGTGGTTCACCAACGTGGGACTTTTGGGAACACTGCATAAACTGAGAAACTCGGGAAGCTCTCTTGGGTTATTTGAACTCCTTGTTGGTGCACACTGAATGCCTCCAGCTGCAGGCGAAATTCTGTTTTGGGCTCGGTGATGATGACTCTGTGGCGGTAGGACTTTGTTCTGATGGGCACTTCTGTGTTTCAGGAATCTTGCCAACTGCGAGCGCCTCATTGAGGTGGAGGACATGATGGTGATGGGCCGCAAGCCAGACCCCATGTGCGTCTTCACCTACGTCCAGTCGCTGTACAACCACCTGCGTCGCTTTGAGTAAAGATCTTGGGTCTGGAGAGCCCAGGAGGAGACTGTGAGGCTGCTTGTGTTCTCCTGGCAGGGTGATCCCCCAAGAAGAGTTGCCTCTGGTGCGAGCTCGCTGTGTGGCCTGTGATGTGTGGCTGGGTGCCCCCACACCCAGCTGTGTTACAGATTAAAGTACAGCTGACTGAGCCCAAGCAGCACTGTCACAGCCAAGGGTTTGAAGGACAAGGAAAAACTCCCAGAGAGAGAGAAATTGGTGCTAAGTAATGATCTTCCTGAAGAAAATGCTTGTCTGTGTAGCTTCTGAATGCTAAATTATAATTTTCCCTCTGGTGGATTTGATACATTGGCTTGATGGGGTTCCATTGATTACCAAGTGTTTTTTTTTTTTTTTTAATCAAAATACCCAGAGTTTTTTACTTTCTCACACTATTGTAGGTCCCTTTCCTCCCTCCCTCTGGGCCTTGGCCAGGAAACGAGAAGGCTTAATCAGCAGCTTGACAAAGAAGACAAGGCTGGGGATGAAACAGTTTTATCACACCCAAGTCCTGGGCCGCAGATGACCTTCAAGTCACCTCTACTCTGTTGAGGAGGATGGGAAGGCTCTCACCTAGATCCTAAAGGGCTCCTGCTCTTCCCAGGAGGCCCCATGAATGCTCAGCTAAGAATAGGCTTTCTGGAATTTAACATTTTAGGTGAAAGAGAGGCCCCTTGTGCTCAGTTTTTAATTACATCTTTTTTAGGGGATTTGTTGTAGGTATTTATAAAAAGTATTTCCATCCGAACCATTGACCAGTCTGAACATAGAAGTATGTGTCAAATTTTGCTTGGGATTTGTTATGACTGGGAGATATGGGTTTTGTGAAGAAGAGACTGCATATTTTCAAATGAAGATCTACTTAAATTATACCATAACTGTATTTAAACCACTTGTCTGGGAAGATGAAAATGACATTTTCTAAATGTCTCCCAACTTGTCTGTCACTCCCCATCTCTGGAAAGTCCTCCCTTGCAGATCTGTCCCTTGGATGTTAACAATGTATTGTGATAAAAGGTGGCCCCAGATGGAAGGTTTTGAGGTGTTCTTTCTTTTTTTTTTCAGTGCCACTGAGCCACACCCTAACCCCTGATGCAAGCCCATCAAGGAGTACTGGTTTAATTTCACAGCAGGATTTTAAAGGAAAAATCTTTATAAAGCTGTAGCCATCAGCATATTCTTACTCAAGAGTAATTTATAATGGACTTGTATTTTAGCTGTGAACCTCTAAAATGTCCCTTTAAGGAGTTGATGTGAACCTTCATTTTATGCAATAGGCTCACACCAGCAGTCCCTTGGGTTGGGTGTTGGAGGGCAGAAAGTCCTTGAGGGGCCAGAGGGGCTGTGCTAAGCCTGCAGGTGGGTGAGCACCCCTCTCAGGAGATCTGTTTGCTTAGGTTGCAGGGCTGCCCCATCTTTTGGATTCTCCTATAGTGGGAATCATTCCCTTCCTAGCTCTCTTGTTGCTTGTAGGACTGGGAAGACGAGCCCTATTATTAGCAGAGACCACATACTACAGTGTAGGGTTTCAACTCTAAAGCCAATGTGGGCACACCAGGCTCTATAAAAAGCTTGTCTGTATGTGACTGAGTACTCACCCATGGTGAATGGCGTGCTCCTGAGTTGCATACTTGCACCTCCACACACGAAATACAGCAGATCCTGCCGGGCTGAGGAACAACTGGCCTGAAGTGTTAAGAATGGTGTCCCCTATGTCTCACCTTCAGAATAATACAGACTAGAGATATTTGAAGTTGGTTTCATGATGTTCTTGTCTGTAGTCTTTGGGTGGGGGGATGAGGGATTATGAAAGTTAATGAATCTCAAACTTCACTTACCTCTAAGACAGAGCATGAGGGTTCCAGGTATGGGAAGACGTGCAAGAACATATCATAATCTCAAGACATTTGGAAACCACCATTTTCTTCTTCTTCTTTTTTTTTTTTGTTATATTGTTGTACTGGGGGTACCTGGTAACATTTACAAAAGTTCTTACAATATATCATAGTTGAGTTCACCCCTTCAATCATTGTCCTTTATCCTCTCTCCCCCACATTCTGGAATAGTTTCAACAGGTCTTATTGGAAACCATCATTTTTAATTGGTGTTACACCAAAACTCCCCACTTGTGGAATATGATTCCGTGTTGTCTGCCATGGAGATGGATGGTTTTACATCTCTTTTTCTTTTCCTGAGAGAATTATTTATTGGAGTTGCTTCTAAGATTCTTCTGTTTTTCCAGATAGAGTTCTTCACCTGGATTTTGCTAACGCTTATTAAATCTGACCAAATGGGCTTGTGTGTTTCCTGGATACTAATGTTTTACCAGTGTCAAGATGGGTTTTCACTTTTTTAACAGCTGATGGGTATTTTTCAAGCAAGGGATAGCCTAGAAGCTCTTTCAGAACATGATATAGTACGTTCTGGCTAGAGGAGCACACACAGCACAGGTGTTTGGGGAACAGTTTGTTAAAGCCAGTGAGTTTCGCAAATGTGTTGGGTGATGGGAAGCTCAGCTTTCCCAGTGGCAGTGGTCAGAATTCTGAAACTGGAGGAGACCAGTGTGAGAGAACACGTTATTTTCTGCCACTATGACCCATCTATGTGACTGCACTCAGTTGAGAGAAAGCTGAAAATGCTGATTTGGTGCATCAGTTTGGGGTGGGGCATTTTACCAATCTGCAGAACCAAGGCTGGTTTTGAGTTTCTCCAGCTGGTGATAGCTGATTGACTTATTCTGATGACTCAGTTGTGCTCTTTGAGGTGGTCAAAGTGATTCCTGCGTTTTCCGTCTCCTAGCTATGCTGTCATGCCTTTGGGATCAGCTCCTGGCAAATGATGAATGTACTTCGTGTGGTCTTTTCTGAGCTTTCTTATCTCTCACTTTTCAAGTTTGGTTTGGACTTGCTTTTAGAACTTTAATCTCTTATCTCTTAGTGTTTGGACTTGCTTGGACACCAAATAGGTCTCCTGTCCCTTTAAAGAGCACATTAAAACCCTTCAGGCAGGCCTCCTTTCTAGAAAGCTCCAGACAACAAAAAGCCCCTGGGATGAATGGAGCTAAGACAGCATAGTTGCTGAACTCTCTAGTGGCAAGAAGGTCCAAGCAGGCAGAATGGTGGATGGTAGGCCAGGCGAGGTGGGGTAGCGCCAGAGATGCAAAGCAGTGTTATGGAGGGTCTCATTTCTCCTCCCTCATCTCACAGGCTGATCTGGCTTTTCACTGCTATCTAGGTAGGGGTAAAATCCATAGTTTTTACAAAGTCTGTCTTGATCATTCACTAGTGTGATTGATCACTTAATCACTGCTCATCTTGCATGATCTCTCAGGAGCATTGCACATTGCTCCCTCTGCTTGGTGTCTGAGCCATCTCCTGTGGCTAAGCCTACTCTGCTTCTGTGACTGCTTCTTTTCATTCTGTCACTAGAGTCCCTCTTTCCCCTCCCTCGTCCTAAGTGCTGTGCTCCTTCTACATCAGGGGTTTGTGATTCAGGCCCTGGGTATGTTTTGGGGAATCTGTGAATGTCCATATTGAATATTTTATCTCCTTCCCCTGCCCCTAAAAAGTGGCTCCTTCTTAGGACTTCCCACCTCAGTAAGTGGCAGTGCCATCACCATCTGGTTGCCCTTGCAGGAAACGTGGAAGTCCTGTTATCTGTGCATCTAAGTCCTGCCTCCACGTGCTCTGTGCTTCCCTCTGTGCTGTGTGAAGTGGCATCCTCATGACCCTGCCAGCTGGGGTCCACATTCCTCTTCTATCCAGCGTCCTAAAGCATCAGAACTATTCATTTTATCTAGGAGTTCAGTTCAAAAAATTTTCCAATATAGGGAAAATAAAGGTAAAAGCACAGGCAAGGACTTTCTGAATAGGACTCCAACAGCTCAGGAAATAAGATCCAAAATTGACCAATGTGATTGCATCAAATTAAAAAGCTTCCTCACAGTGAAGGAAACAATTACCAAAATGAAGAGACACCCTACAGAAAGGGACAAAATCTGCTAGGTATTCATTTGACAGGAGATTAATATTCAGAATATGTAAAGAGCTCAAAAAATTAAACAACAAATAACAACCCAAATAATAGATGGGTAAGTAAACTGAAGATACTTTTCAAATGAAGAAGTACAAGTATCTAATAAATACATTAAAAAATGGTCAACCTCTTTAGCCATCAGAGAAGTGCAAATCAAAGCTACACTGAGATGCTACCTCAGTGTATCCAGTGTGGCCCTCAGAATGTCTGTCTTCAAGAAAACAAATAACAGCAAATGCTGGTGAGGATGTGGGGGAAAAGGAACTCTTATTTATAGCTGGTAGGATGTAAATTAGTGTACCCACTATGGAAATCAATATAGAGGTTCCTCAAAAAAAATTTAAGAATAGACCTCGCATGTGACCTGGCCATCCCATTTCTGATTATATATATATACCCAAAAGAATCAGTCAGCTTACTATGGAGATGCTTTCACACCCACATTTATCATGACACTATTCACAATAGCCAAAGTGTGGAATCAGTCTAGGAGCCCATCGGTAGATGAATGGATGAAGAAAATGTGGTACATACACACAATGGAGTTTTACTCAGCTGTTAAGAAGAATAAAAAGTATGTCATTTGCTGGAAATGGATAGAGCTAGAGATCATGATAAGTGAGATAAACCAGTCCCACAAACATAACTGTCACATGTTTTTTCTTGTTTTCAGAAGTTAAGGGAAAACAAAACAACTGAGGTCATGAAAATGAAAAGTAGACTACTAGGAAGGTGGAAGGGGAAAGGAAAAGGGGGAAGGAGAAGGGGGAAAGAAAAAGCAATAGAGAGGGTGAATATGTCCATTATACATTATAGGTTATGTATGGAAATGCCAAGATGAAATCCCTTACTATGTACAATTCAATATATGCCAAAAGCTATAAAAGGGAAACAAAAAAGAATAAAAGCATCTCCTATGCAAGCAATGTATTAGCATACCCTAAGAAGCTACACATCCACTCTTCTACTGTTCAGTCTATTCAGATTTCTCCAATTGTTCCCACATGCATGGTGTGGCTGTTAGGATGTCCAGGACTGAGTTAAAATCTGCACAGTGCATTTAGTTGTGATGTCTCTTTAGTTTCTTTCAATCTAGAATTGCCCTCCCTTTTTATTATCTGTTTCCCAGTGGACTCTTTTGAAGAACCCAAGCCAGTTGCCTTGTAGACTGTTGTACAGTCTGTATTTATTTGTTTCCTCCTGGTTAGATAGAATCAGGTGAGCCGTGTTGGACACAAATCCTGTCTGAGGTGCTGGGTGTGTCTGTGGCAGCAGGTGAGATGCACACAGTGGGTTTGCCCATGCCATGTTGGACTGTGGTGGGATGGTGTTTCATTGTGCCCTTTCTCATGGCAATTATAACTCTGGGTGCTATTCCTGAGACCCTGTATCTTTTTCTCTAGTACCCTTTCACCCAGTACCTTTAGGATTATCACTTGATTATCTTCAACTGAATCTGTAATTACACCAGGGTCGACAATTAGGATTTAAAAATCCTATTATTGTTTCTTCTATGTTTATTAGTAGGTATTCTTCTATAAAGGTCTTTTCCTTTGCCTTCTTCAGTTTTTGAGTGTTACTGTGGACTCATGGAGTTTTAAAAAATTCAATGTTATAATCCCTTATTGTCAATTCTTTTCGATGCTCCAAGTGTCTAAAGTTTGGTGAAAGAAGATAGCTCTGTGTCTTTTGCCACAGTCTCTTGATTCTTTGAGCACTTCCCTGTTTGCTGGTACAGGATGCTCCAGGTTGACCTTTGACTTTCCTTGCCCCAACTCTAGAATCAGCAATTTCTTCAAGCAGTCCTGGCCTCTCACAGTTGGGAATCATATTTCTCAATCAAGATCCAAGAACCAGGTGTGCTCACTGGGTGTAATGGCTTTCAGTTAATAGAGTTAAGAAATTTGATATAGAGGGGCCTTAGGCACACTGATGCCTCAAAGTCCAGCACCACAGCCTTCACCTGTATTTTATTTCCTGTTTACTTTCCCTTTTCTCCAATAATCCTGATTCCCCCAAATTTCAATGTTTCTGAGTTTCTTCTATATCATAACACAAACAATAGTTTCAGAACTT